CTGTTTATTATGAAATGAATTTGAAATATCTGGCAATTTTTATAAATGAGATATCTATTTAAGTAATAGATAACTTTTTCCGTGTTTACATAGCCTGATGCAAACACGAGGGTAGGTTGGGAGAATTCGAGACGGTTATGCAAACCCGAGACGAAGTCGAGGGTTTGCATAACCATCGAGAATTCTCCCAACCTGCCCGAGTGTTTGCATCAGGCTATGTAAACACAGGGAAAAAGTTATCTATTGCTTTTATAAAATAACTCTTTTTTCTAAAATGGGCATTGAGGCAAATAGCTGAAAATTATGAAATACTTCTCAAACTAACAATTAATGAATAAAAAACTTATTTTCGAATTGTTACTGATTATTTTAAGGAAAGTTTTTCCCATTTGAAAAAAAAATGACCGGTAGCTATCTACCCCTCCCCCCTAAAATTTTTGTGTCAAAAAGGTATTATGCTATTGTAGAGTCAGCAATGGGAGCAAGCTCAAATAGGTAAAAATACCATAAAACAAAAAATAAGCTTTAAAAATGAAAAAAAAAAAGCATATTTTACTTTATTGAAAACGTGGCAACATTGATGGCAGCATTGATGACGGCTTCATGATCTAAATCTGCCCAGATAAATTTTAGGAAAAGACCAAAAGTTTCAGAGCTGTAGCTGTCTTGGTTCGAAAGTTATTGGCATTTTACTCGAGGAGATAGTAACCACCTCTTCATTGTCGAACTATCTGCAAGGAATGTCTCCAATCAACGTCGTGCCTTTCAATAAGTTATTTAGGCTTTTATTACCAAGGAAAAAAATCAAACTGCGCGTGTTGTGTTCTGGTCGGTGAGGTGCATGACGGTCGAGGCGCGGTTTTGTGGAACTACGTAGCATCTGTTGGCTCATTATGAGTGATTGGATTGCATTCTGSCATGCATAAAGGTTCATTAGGCCGTTACAGCTTAAAACGTTTGATCGCTGTTTACCATCAAACCCCAAGTAACGAAATTTTCCTACTACAGGAAAAAAAGGCCAACATCTTCATCGATCCTCGGGAAAAGGAGTAGCAGCATGAACAAGATGGAAACGTTTTAAATCTTTAAAGATAACTTTAAGATAACTTTAAAAAATTATCTGTAAGTCATAGACGTATGGTWGGGACAGCGAACGCATTTTTGGGCCTTGACATGTTGATCCCCGTCCCCAGTGACTTGATAAATTTGGATTGTTGAATGGCAAATGGGGAATGAATGAGTGGAACATTCAGAAGTGGTAGAAATGAGAACAGTCACATACTAATCATCCAACCATAGGTACGGTACATGCATTAAATATACTCCTGTCTCTTCATGATGCTGGATTGATTCAAAAGCTTTTTTTCTTTATTTAAACCAATAGAATTCTCACCAAAAGGTAAAATTAGGAATTTTTTTAATGAAAACTCTCTATCCGGATAGTTATTGAATCAGCGGATGTGTACAACCATCAGGTCTGATTATCTGATTAGAATGCTCTTTAGCCATTGGCCAACGCAGACATTCATAACGACATAAAGTGTGCACAGTTAGTTAAATTAATCTCCTATATTTCAATGTCTTCGATAATCATACTATTTAAAGATGGAACATTATTTCCATTCGCATCAGACAATTTCTTCGTAAGCAAACAAGAGAGACAAACTTAATAAAAATACTGCACTCAAACAGCCAAAACTCATAACACAATGGCAACGATGTTCGTGTTGTCCTTCTTGCTGGTTTTCTTCAAAAATGCTTTCGGTAAGTGCGAAAGTAACATAGCGATAATTAAGAGACGGCGTAAGTTTTAATTTCTAAGAGTTTTGCTATGTTATTTTCGCTTTTAAAAAAGCTTATGAGATTTTTTTTGCACTAAAATATCAAATATGCGATTTGGTGTCGATATTCACTTGGTGCTGTTTTTGCAAATAGTTAGATTATTGCACTTTGTAAAAAGAGGGAAGAAAAAATAGTTGTTTAGAAGCGATTTTAGTCGAGAGTCGAACCCGTGGTCCTGTGATCCTAAGTTCTTCGACGGTATTCGAGTATAATATAAAGTCGCTGAAAACCGAGAAGAAGTAAACTCGACAACTGACGAATAATAATTTGGAGTTATTTATTTTGTTTTGTTTTGTTTTNGTATCTTAGGAGGAACCATTGCAAATCATTTTTCTTAGCTCTTGTTTCCTTTAAGCTTTGAGGTATCTACAACATCACTGGAAGAGCTAGAGCAGCTTAGGTCCACGTATTCCAATAGAGTTAAAGCGTTTGTTATTTTTGGTACAAACAACTGTCGTAGTTCATTTTTTGTCGCATTTTCGGCAATATGCCGCAAGCGTGCTCGACGATTTGACGTTATGTAACAGGCCAGTTACATTTACTAGCTCTGACCTTACAACTAGAGCTAGAACGGTGACTGGGTTTTTTCGTGTAATGTCTTGATAGCGACTGTTTATGTCGAAACGACTCAAAACAAAATTCCATCGTGAAAAAAGTTCGACTAAATTCCCACGCGTGTGTATTTAAGGTGGTTTCATATGAGCATTCAATTCTTAAAGGTTTAATTCTATAATCATTTTGTTTAGTTATGTAAATAAATTTAACACGACTTGTACTGTTTGTCTGAGTGAAAGGCGAGATGCGGGTTTTCCCTTTCTTTATTTACACTTTCAAATATGACCGCTTAACAAAAATGCACGGGCTCACTGTCTTACAACCTTGGCGAATTCATATACAGGCCTGGTCGCAAATCAATCACCCAGTTATAATGCATTAATAACTGGCTACAATGGCATAGAGAATGCTGCAATATCATCTGTTTATTATGAAATGAATTTGAAATAATATTTTTTGTTTTGCTTAATAGACCACCGTTCTATATCTGGCAATTTTTATAAATGAGATATCTATATCTAGATAACCAGATTTATAAAATTATTGAATTAAATTGTGCAATTTGATTGGCTTAGGGAAGTGGTATTTATCCTTAATAGTGGTATTTCAAATTGCGCAATTTTATTCAACCATTTTATAAACAAATAATATCATGTTTTGTACCAGGCGGTGTTGGACACAGCGCGAAAAGGATCCTGGGTTAAAATTCAAAAATGATTTAATTTGCCACTGACCTTTGAGCTGTGAGGAGATCCGTCGGAGTTGATTGAAAGGCAAAATAAAGGAAAAATCTGAGAAAAACTTGAAACGTATCCTGAAAATAAGTAAAAACTCATAATAGAGCTCAGTAGTATTGCGAAAAAAGAAAGCTAGAACACTGAAAACTTATGAAAAGATCGGATTTTTCGAGCAATTGTGAGAAAACTAAGTTCATTTTATTACGAGAAAGCACAAACATACCTTACGGCGGTCTCCGAAAAGACATGTTAATCACAATCAGAGATATGAATGACACTCATGTTTTGCAATTCCAAGCAACAATCCTTTGCTTGACATCATAAAATGTTGCAAAAATGCAAAAAAGGATTGACTTTTTCAATCTTAAAACTGTCAATATTTCAAAAGTGAAGTTGACCTTGACTATGAGAGAGGTGACGCTCGCGTCAAAAGTTGTTCAAGGTCAAAATTTTGGCGGGAA